TTACCTTTTGGTTCGTTATTCGATTTCGAATGCTCGAAATATAACTGGGGAGGCACGAGTCTTGCCACGGAGATTCGAATGAAGGCGAAACACAGCAATCCAGTAAAAACTATCATATTTTCATTCGATTCACGGCATTATTCGTTTCATGTCTGTTTCATCCATCATTTGCGACACACGATTGGCGAGTTTTGATGAGCATCCGTCTGAGGAAGCCAGCATTCAATTACACTTGATTTATCCGGATGGAAGGGCTGGGGTTGCAGCCGACGTTTCTGAATATCACTAAAATGCTCGCCAAACCATTTTAAAATGAATTAGAAAAAATGCCAAAAGTTCACTTGAAGACTGGGAATTGAAAATACTGTAAGTATGAAATTGTCAGTTTCAAGAAAAATCGATGAATATGTGACGTAAACTGATTGGAAAATCCTTCTCTTTGGAATACAGATAAAAGAAGTCTTTATTTTCTAACTTGTCATATGTATGCTAGACGTATTAAAATTAGCCTATATCAGGGTGCGTAGCTAAATTTTTCAACAAAAAAAGCACCTTTTAAGCACTTTTCAAGCACTCACAAATATTTTTAAGCCCTTTAAAAAAATCACAATTAGGCAGGGTTTGCAAGCTTTCAACAATTAACGGTTTTACCCGTCATATCTAAAAAAAAACTTTTGTCTTAGTTTTTGGCAATTGTCAAAAATCATGAATTTTTGAATCATGTAAAACGAATGGAATTTTCATACGCTACGGACAGACGGTACGCCGAAATAGATTGGAGTTGAATTAATTGTGAAAACGTAGAATAGAACAATGTGAAAAGTGTCTTTTTGCATAATTCATGGCGAAAATCACCATGGTAAAGGAAAAATCTCAAATTGGAAAAGCGAAAATTAAGCACTTTTTGAAAACACCCAATGAAAAAAGCACCTTTAAGGGCTTTTAAAAAACGAAAATCGAAAATAAGCACCTTTAAGCACTTTTTAAAAACGTTACGCACCCTGTATATGCATTCAGGCTAAGTAGGAAATGTGTTATATTCAATTAAATTAAATTTGAAGATTAGTGCTATATAACGAGACTATTTAGAATAAAACTTCATTTATCTCGGCTAATTTCAAACTGCTTGAAATAAATTAGGCTTCTGACCAATGGATGATATATTTTCCAATCAACTTTAAACTATGTGAGCTTCTTGAAATAAGCCCAAAAAGTGTCAAGCTGATTGGAAAAAAATTAGAGACTTTTATAATTAGCCGGGCTCATTGAAAGATAACTGTTAGTAAAAAACCTGACACTTCAATTAGTCTAAAACTGATACAACACTTGCAATTAACAGAAAGGTATCTACAACAAACTAAGCAAACAGAAAGAAATCTGTAGCATCAAAAGGTTAGTCAACTCTAGGACTATTCAATGATTAATTTCCTTTATTTTAAAAAGTGCATCAATGTTTTGTCTCATTTACTCAAAGTTTTGCGAGTCATAAAAATATTTAAGCTGTCGAAGTTTAATTTTTTAAATCCGTTTCTCCCCCTAAAAATTGATAAATCAAACAAATTACTACTTCTGAAGCTCTTCGCATGCACGAGAAATTTTTTAAAAATCTTAACTCGATAGGCAGATATTTTATTTACTTCTTACCAGAGCTTCACAATGGGCTATTGACGACGGTCTGGGAAACATCCCTGAGGATAATCCGAAGACATGCCATCGCAATTTTGATCCTCTGCAGAGGGAATGGCTACTCTGCTTTGGTAGCCCGACGACCTGAGCGAGCGAAGTCGAGTACGTTACGGTATAACAGTTTGACGAGGATCGATACCGCATACCCTCGGTCCCTACGCAGACTGACCCAAGTGGTCACCCACCCGCACACTGACAGCAGCCAGGGATGCTTGACTTCGTTGATCTGCTGGGAACCGTCTCTTAACGATCATTCCACTGCGGGACAAAAATAATGTAAGATTTAAAATAATAATGATAATAAAGAAAGCATCGGAAAAACCCTCGTCGAAAAAGCAGGATATCATCTCTACTATTTATTCATTTTTTAACCCATGATCCGCTTACTATACTAGACACTAAAGAGCTTTCTAACTTTGCACAACTTACCATTGGAATAATTTGAAAAAAAAAAGTAAAAAATATATCTGTTTATTCTTTGAAATCATGGCATAAACTAAATATTCCTTATTTTGGTAATAAAGGACTCCACTGTGAAAAAAAAAACTCAAAAATTGCGTTTTCATGACATCATATTGAAACGCCCCTAAGTATATTTCATTTATAGATAATTTGCCAAGTAATTTTGCGTTTAACAAATATTCTATTAAAAATGCAACGATTTATTTAAAAGAAAAAGACTTATTTTAAAAAAAAATCACATGACTGTAGATCTTCATGGTTTTATTAATTATTTTTTTATTTATTATGATTTTTAATTTGAAAGCAATTGATAACCAAGAATAACATTTTATCAGACAATACAACAATTATATTTTTAGTAATCATTTATCAATAATTTTCTTTTTTACTTTTGTTTGAATTTACTTTAAAAGTTTCCTTTTATAGTGACTTTTTTTTTCTTTCAAGTACAATCTATTTTTAGGGATTTTTCTGTTAATTTTATACTACTCAAAATTAATTCACAAAATATTATTAAGATAGGCAATAATGGACAAATTTTTTTAAAAAAAATAAGAGCTTTTATTTTTACTTTTCGAAATTAAAGAAAAAAATTATTTGAGAAAAATAAAAATTTTAAAACTTAAAAGAGACTCTTGTCGAATTAAGATGAAAATTCAAATTCTCTTTTTTTAAATATAGATTAAATTCAAAAACAACTGAAGAAAGATTTTATTAAAAATAATTTCAAATAAAGTAAATAATAGCTGAATGAAATAAAATATTTTTTTATTATCCATTAAATATAAAAACTATCGTTTGCTTTTAAAGCAAGAGATAATTCATAAAATATCGTTTTCTTTAAAATATTAATGATACTGATTTTTAAAAAAAGTTTATTTACTCAATTTTTAAAATNAACAAATTACTACTTCTGAAGCTATTTGCGTGCACGAGAAATTTTTTAAAATCTTAACTCGATAGGCAGGTATTTTGTTTGCTTCGTACCAAAGCAGCACAATGGGCTATTGACGACGGTCTGGGAAACATCCCTGAGGATAATCCGAAGACATGCCATCGCAATTTTGATCCTCTGCAGAGGGAATGGCTACCCTTCCTTGGTAGCCCGACGACCCGCGCACGAAGTCGAGCACTTTACGGTAGGACAGTTTAACAAGGACCGATACCGCACACCCTCGGTCCCCACACAGACTGATCCAAGTGGTCACCCACCCGCACACTGACCGCAGCCAGTGATGCTTGACTTCGGTGATCTGCTGGGAACCGTCTCTTAACGATCATTCCACTGCGGGAAGAAAATTATGTAAAATTAAAAATAATAATAATACAGAGAGCATCCGAAAAACTCTCGTCAAAAAAGCAGGATATCATCTATACTATATATTTATTTTTTAACTGTTAATGAATAATTTCTACGGGAAAGGAAGCTCGTGGTATTAACATTTGTGTTTAAAGAATCACAGAAACCTAGCGGTGATTTGATGGCTGGAAGTAAATTGGACTTTAACCCATGATCCGCTTACTATACTAGAGACTCAAGAGCTTTCTAACTTTGCACAACTTACAATTGGAATAATTTGCAAAAAAAAAAAAAAAAAAAAATTTAAACATATATCTGTTTATTTTTTGAAATCACGGCATAAACTAAATATTCCTTATTTGGGTAATAGAGGACTCCACTGTGTGAAAAAAAAAACTAAAAAATTGCGTTTTTATGACATCATATTGAAACGTCCCATATTGAAACGTCCCTAAGTATATTTCGTTTATAGATAATTTAAGCAATAATTTGCCAAATAATTCTGCATTTAATAAATATTCTATAAAAAATGTAATGATTTATTTATTTAAAAGACTTATTTAAAAGAAAATCACATAATTGTAGATCTTCATGGTTTTATTTATTAATTATTTTTTTATTTATTATGATTTTTGATTTTAAAAAAATTGATAACCAAGAATAACATTTTATCAGACAATACAACAATTATATTTTTAGTAATCATTTATCAATAATTTTCCTTTTTACTTTTATTTGAATTTACTTTAAAAGTTTCCTTTTATAGTGATTTTTTTTTTCTTTCAAGTACAATCTATTTGTAGAGATTTTTCTGTTAATTTTATACTACTCAAAATTAATTCACAAAATATTATTAGGATAAGCAATAATGGACTAATTTTTTTTAAAAAAATACGAGCTTTTATTTTTACTTTTCGAAATTAAAGAAAAAAATTATTTGAGAAAAATAAAAATTTTTAAACTTAAAAGAGATTTTTGTCTAATTGAGATGAAAATTCAAACTCTCTTTTTTTAAATATAGATTAAATTCAAAAACAACTGAAGAAAGATTTTATTAAAAATAATTTCAAATAAAGTAAATAATAGCTGAATGAAATAAAATATTCTTTTATTATCCATTAAATATAGAACTATCGTTTGCTTTTAAAGCAAACGATAATTCATAAAATATCGTTTGCTTTAAAATATTAATGATACTGATTTTTTAAAAAAGTTTATTTACTCAATTTTTAAAATTGCAATATAAACATCTTAAATTAAACGTTTAATATAAATAATTAAAATGGCAATTTTTAATATGCGTACATTTCCATGCAATGTATCTATTACATTCATAATGATTTTTATATCTATCGTCTGCTTTTAAAACAAACGATAATTCATAAAATATCGCCTGCTTTAAAATATCAAAAATACAGATTTTTTTTTAAAAAAAAGTGTATTTACTCAATATTGAAATAAATATTTAGTGTAAATATTTAAATTCACAATTTTTAATAAGCGTGCATTTTCATGCGATGTGCCTATTTCATGCAAAGTGCTTTTTCAATACCTGGCTGTCATTAAAAGGCATTTTCATCCTATAACCAATCAATAAATTCGGATCAGCATTCACATCTTCTAAAGCCATCAAGGCAGCAGGCATACAACCCCTTCCCCCTTGCCAACCGCCCGTGCCATTAATTGGGAATATAGCACCAATATATAAATCTGTTTCTTTGGGTTTTCTGGTTAATGTGGAATGAGCGTAATGCAGTCGAGGAAGTACAGGTATAGCGTTTTCCACTGCAGTTAAAACTAAAGCGAAATATATTCCACTGATAAATATCATATTTCCTTTTATATATATTCTCCCATAACTTATTAAAATGATTAAATTCCTCTCATCATATCTACAAAACCAGCAAACATTCACGGAGAGATGCCGGCATCAAATTAGACGTTATTTATCATTCCAATAAAAGAGTAGGGGTTGCCTGGAAAATTTGGGACCATCGCCAAATATTCCGCCAAAACACGTTAAGAGTGGACGAGAGAACATTTTACGTAAATATTATTTAAAAAAAGAATGAAATTATAATAATATTGAAGAAGGGAAGCAAGTTTTATATCGCAATGTCTATAAGGGCGTGAATCGATTCTTAAGGCAAACGACTTCAGCTCCTTCCCTTTTCCTAACACCAACTCCGACTCCTGAAACGACTCCGGAATATGAATTCTTGCTACATTTTGTTTTTTGGAAAATTTAAGTATGGCGTAAGTAAAACTACAAAATTGAAATGTTGAAGGGTGGACGCAATGTTTATGTTTTTTATTTTATTACAAAACTAAAAATCGATCCTAAGCACGTGTTTTAAGCTGCGCACTTTTAGATACAATCAACTCCGACTCCTGATAAGATTTCATGATTATAAATTGTAATGCTGAAAACATATTGTACACAATAATGTAAAACTGTAAAAACAACAAAGATGTTGGTCACAGAAAGGAAGCAATGTTTATAATCCTTCGTCACCTTTATTAACATTCGACTCAGACTCCTGATTAGATTTTGAACTATACTTTGTTGGCAGAATATAATGCGGAAAATATGTTTACAATAATGTGGAACTTTAAACATAACAAAGATATAATAATATCAAAGAAAGGAAGCAAAGTTTATATTCCTTATCTTAAAACTAAGAATCGATCCAAAAAGTCAACGATTCTAGGTTGTTACTTTTATTAACATTCAACTCCGACTCCTGATTGGATTTTGGATTATAAATTCTTGGAGCATTGTAATGTCGAAAATATGTGTACAATTAATGTGAAACAGTAAACATAAGAAAGACAGAATAATGTTAAAGAAAGGAATCAAAGTTTACATTCCTTATTTTATTTGAAACTAAGAATTGATCCAAAAAGAATATTCCACGCATCGCACTTTTAGATACCTTCAACTCCGACTCCCAATACGTTATGAAATATGAGTTTTTTACTTATTGTAATGCGGAAAAGGTGTATGCAATGAATGTGAAACATAAAATTAATAAAATTTATGAAAAATAAGAGGACTTTCAAAAATAATCCACCTGAAAAACTGTATGAAAGTTATTTTTTTCTCCAAAATTACATTTATTTTTAAATTAGATAACTTCAACTCCGACTTCTAACACAACTACGATAAATTAATTCTTGTCGCAGAGACGTAATAAATGTATAAAGATTTTATGCTGAAACTGCCAAAATAAAATATTTCTTTTTAAAAAAAGGAAGCAATTTTTATAAATAAAGTTTTGACTGCTCATATTACAAAACAAAGAAACTATCTTCAAAAATATGCGGCTCCAGCTTCTTTCTTTTTTATAGTATCAATTCCGACTGCTATCATGACTCCGGGCATTAATTCGTATCAAAACAAAAAGTAATAAATGTGCTTTCAGTTTGAAGACATCATAAAAACATAACAATAAAAGAAAACGTAATTTTATATTACAACACCTATTACAAAGTTAAGAATCAAGCTTAAACCCATACAACTGCAGCTCTTAATTTTTTGATATTTTCTATCACGGTTATGGAACAGTTTTAACGGCTCTTAAATCGAATTTAATAAAATTTATATGACTCCGGATAATTAAGTGATAATTTTATAAAGTAAGAGATTTTTGACTTGGCACAAATTCATCATCATAGTTGGACAGACATTCCCATGTGGGCCAATGCCTTCCTCTTATTTCTTCATTCGATTTTCGACTTTTTGTACAAATTCTTTAAACGAAAAATATGTATATTCTATTTTTCAATCAATCAAATTTTTTTAATAATTATATTAAAAGTAATCTGTAACAAACATTAAGCAATATAAAATTATCCTGAAATAAATGACTGCTATTACGAAGTTTCGTCAAATTTTACATTGCGGGCAGTTTTTTCATAACATTTTAAATTTTTAATTAATTACTTTAATTTTTAAATATATTGAATGTAATCTATAATGAAGTTTAATCAATGAGAAATTACGCACATCTCCATGAAATAAATAACTGCTATTATTGTCGTAAAACTTTGCAGCTCGGAAAGTGTTTCTTATTTTTAACACTTCTATTTTTTAACATTTCTATTTTTTAAATATTTTTATTTTTTAAATTTCTATTTATAAAATTTTTTATTAATTTTTATATTTAAATGAAATTAATAAAATGTTTAATTATTGTATTAAAAGTAATCAGTTTTAAAGATCAATCAATGTGAAGTAACGTTTAGCTCTATGAAATAAATAATTGCTGCTATTTTCATCAAACTTTACAGCACGGGCAGTTTTATTTGCAATAGCATTTCTATCTTTAACTATTTAATTAAATTTTTGATTATTGTATTAAAAATAATCTATGATGCAGAACAAGCAATGCAAAATTACAGTTAACTACTTAAAATTAAAAAAAAAATCTTTTTATTTTTTCTTCAAATATTACAATATGGAAATAGATTTTATCTCCGTGTGTATTTTACAAGTAACTTAAAACTAAATTTATAAAGTAAAAAAAAAAAAAAGAAGAAGAAAATTAAAATTTAGTTAGAAGTTTAATTATAATTTTGAAATTAATTTGCTAAACAGTAATCGAAAATTATGTTTACCTGGATAAAATAAAGTTCTTCAACCTTTTTCCTTAAATTTTACTTTACGGGAATATTTTTTTCTCCGCAAGTATACTTCAAGCAAGGCAGAGCTACATTTACAGGGGAAAACATGAAATGAATGAAATCTACTGAAACTGCCTTTTTCAAATTTCGTTATGGATTTGTGCACATGAAGTTCATTTTATCCTAAATTAAATTATAGAAACATCTACATTATTTCGAAAAAAAAATTCAGTTTTAAGAAGTTATCTAGAAAAATTAATTTCTTAAAAGCTGAATAACTCAGTTGCTAATTGAACAAAAAACGATAATATTTTCAAGAAGCCATGTTCATTTTAATGAGCTTTAGAAAACAAAATAATTATATGTTTTTTATTTCAAAAATATACATTTTTAATAAACAAAGAACTTTCCTTTTTTTACGTATACAATGATTTTACGTTTCTTGATCAATTACATTAGCATACGTTAGTAGTTCTATAAAAAGGTTAGGTAATCAACCTAAGGACCAGTTTTTTAATTTTTTTGCAGCACTATTTCAGTTATCTTAGCTTTCGCGGCAACATAATAGAAATATAATTAATTTCACATCGCAAGAAAGCAAGCGATATTACTTGCTTTATTAATTACTTCAGTTATCTTTTAAATTAAAAATTTCAAAACAGCATTCATACTTTCTAAAAAAGAATGTTCAAACACACTTTCAAATTTTACGTAACTCACCTATCATCATATCTTCACATCACTGTGGAAGATTGTGTGCAATAAATCAGTCTAGCGCCCGATTTATTGATCTTTTGCCGAACTTCTGGATTGCCATTTCTCATGACAACACCATAATTAATTTTATTGTGCAATGCACAATTCCAGTGAAGTTACTATCGTTTGCAATAGCAAGTGATATATTATTTGCTTCTTTAATTACTTCAAACGATTACGATTGTTTCCTTTAATGTATATAGGTATATTTATTACAAAAATATTCTCAACTAAACTTTTAAATTCTGTATAACCCACATAGCTTGTTGTGGAATTATTTATGACAAAAAGATGTGTCCATACGGATTATTCAATTTCTATAGTACAAAAGATATTTACTAAGAACAAAAGCTTAAAATTAATACTTTTCTCAAAAATCCGTTATATTTAAAATAGTTTGCTCTAAAAATAGAGATCCTTTTCGTATTTACTTTTATTTTTGAAATGATAATAATAAAGTATGAGGAAAAAAAATTCGATTCAAATTATTCTGTAACAAAACTTTACAAGTTGTGAAGAATTCGACTACTTTGATTATATTCTTGCAAAAGTGCACCTCACCGATAGTTAAACATTTATTGTCAACAGTCGAATTAATTGATTAAGTAATAAAAATATCGCTTGCTTTCTTGCTATTGCAATCGATAGTAGTTTTATTATAATTTTACATTGCACTATGAAATTAGTCGTATTTTGAATTAGTTATTCAACATAACTGTGAGAGCTTTGATTTGAAATTTTTTTTAAGAAGAAATTAATTTTCTTAATATAATTACACATAAATGCAAGATGCACAAACAAGTAAGTTTTAATTAATCCAGTAATATTTTTAAATTACATTTTAAAAATGGACTACCGCTTAAAGAAAATAAAAGGACCTACCTGGATCAGCATGAATCTAAACAATAATTGAAAAAAAATTTGCATGATTATTTTAAAAACACATTTTTGGATCTTAATACACGTTATAGTCAGCTTTGAAATATAACACTAATTTATTAGTTTCAGGATTTTAGATATTATTAGAGAAAAAAAAAATGTTTATAGCTTCTTGACTCCGTAGATTCTGAACCTGATTCCAAAATTAACAAAAATCTTAATTAACATGTTTTTGCACATAGCTGTAAATGGCTATTTTAAAGGTGGGCCTTACCTGACTGTCGTTATGTGGCATTTGCATTCTGTAACCTTTCAACAAATTTGGGTCGTCATTAACATCGTCTAGAGCCATCAAAGCCGCGGGCAGACACCCCTGACCCCCTAACCAACCACCTGTTCCATTAATCGGAAATATTGCTCCAATATATAAATCCTTAACTTTCTCTTGCTGATTTCCTTTAAACTTAAGAGACTCCTTTTGCTGCCGAGGTGGAACAGCATTTTCCACCAGGGATAAAATTGTCGCAAGACAAATTCCACTCCAAAAGAACATTTTTGTTCTCCTTCTGTATTTCCTCACCCCCAACTTGTTGATAATAGTAGTCCGTCACTTCATCTTTTAACATCGAACCACTTTCGGTAGTGAACCGCGAATTCTGGGACCGCACACGTCCCTGGTAGCCGGCATTATATAAAGCCCGAATTTAGCTGGAAGGGGGATTATGGTTGCTTCCGAAAAGGAGTAACTATCGCCAGAACTCTCGCCAAAAATGCTTAATATAAATTTTAATGAGACCTATTTCTTAGTCATTTGTCACTGGAAACA